GTGCATGGTTTTTATTCACGTCCATGTCACAAAACAAGTCACAGGCTACAATGCTAAACATACAAGCCTATGACATCACCTGACTGTCCTGCCAAAAACTAATAAAAGTTAGTTGTTATTTTTTAAGTCCTAATGTTAACACTAAAACAATGCATTTTGATATTGAGAAGCAACACCTACGTACAGGATATAGAATATGATTTTATTTCTAAAGGTTGTTTTTTCAATTCCTGTGTAGGCTGCATGGAACAATATATATTCTAAGTTGTTCACTGTGAATACAACAAGTATTTCAGAAGCTACCTCATGCATAAGTAGATACACTTTAACAGTTTTAGGTGTACTGTAGGTACAGTTGAAAAATAACCTACTTAATTTTCCATGAATGGAGTTACAGTTTCTCCTGGTGTTGCTACAGTGATCCATCATTGCAGGAACTGCAACACGGAGTGGTTGTTTGTGGAGAGATTAGCAGGGTAACCAAAGATAAGGAACAGGTTTTATGCAGATTCTTCAGCCTGTAAAAGCGATGCCTTGCAAAGTATCCAAAAGAAGTTGGTAAAATCCTGAATCAAAAGTCAAGGGGGAATTGTGCATTGTCTTTTCCAGTACTAAAATTGGAAGAGTCAAATGAAACTAGCTGGCGAGAAAGTTAATGTGAATTTTTCTTGACGTAACATATAGTTCAGCTTTGGAACTCCATAGGGTGTTGTGGGTGCTGCAAGTTTGCACAAGAACGGAAGTAACTGAACAAATTAATAAACTCCATGAGGGATTGGTATCTAAAGACACAATCCCTCTGTTTATGCAAGTTTGCAAGTCATCGTAAGTTGAGGGAGGCTTCTTGAGAAGACTCTGAGCAGGAGTTAAGGTGCTACCCTGTCCTCAAGAGAGACCAAACTACAGTTACCCTGTCAATACTGTGTACTTAACAGAAAATGTGCAAGTGGGCCACCAGTGTCATCATTATCTAGGTAATTATTTTAGTAACTGGTGTTTCCATTACTTACCATGTCCATAGGGTCCTTAGGTGATCAGGGCATACCCTTCCATTCAGTGTCAATGCTAGCAGCATTCCACTAAGCATTAACATTAAAAGAGGCAGCACTCACCTCTTCTTGCAGTCTAATTTCTTACACATATGATAAAAGTCAGTAGGCCCAAATTTCATGTGTGGCTATCGCCATGTTATCATAGTGGCTTGTGACAACAAGCAAACTTAGGATATGAAAGCAAGAGTGCAGATAAGCACTACAGAGCTGCTGATGCATTTGAAGAATTCCCTGACTCCTGCTTTTCAGCACAAAGCAGAGTGTGTCTGCAGCCTTCATAAATACTGCAGAGAGCCAGGAAACATAATAAGCTGTTAGTAAGTAATTCATTTGCAAGTAATGGGCATGTAATTGTTGCTGTTACAAAATTTCTGATTGTGACTATGCTGTGTTTAAAAACTGGGCCTATGGTTTTATTGCAGAATTATTACAGCAAACCCTTTGAGAACTCTGAGCATATAGTCTCATTCTCTTAAGTATTCATTTGACCAGTGTTGAGAAATGTAGCTGTTTCTAAGGCAAAAGAGACCCTAGAATAACGTTGAACTAGTAATAAAATAGATATCTATTTAGTTTCCTTTTTTTTCCCCAAAGACTATAATAAAATCTGGAATCAAGCAGCAGGAAACTTAGGCTTTTTATTGTTATTATTTTTTAATATTAGGTTTTCTTTAAGTAGATGTGCAAAAATGGCTTTCACACAAAGTACCTTGACCTTTTGCATTGCTTTAAAGAGACTGAAAGTCTCCTTGAGCTGTAGTGTTTAATAACAAAGTTCTAATAAACTTTGTTGTGTTTCTGGCGCTGAGAAAGAAGGTATGGAACTAAAATCATACCCTTGTCTTTTACTGAAGTCTTTCATGCAGGTGATGTTTGTGTTTGATGAAGAGACAGGTCTGAACAGTGGTTCTTTTCTGAGCCCACTGGATGGACCAAGAACAAATGGATATGTCTGTGTGGTCAGGAAGGGAATAGCATGGTGATTAACCATAGTTCTTACTGGAGATATCAGAATTAATAGACTAGATTTCAAGATCTTCCCTTATAAACCATTTCTAGTGCCAGCAGGTTTCCTGGGAAGATAGTTTGAATTACATGTTTTAAATAGTCCTTTTTCGTTTCTCAGCTCTTTGCTTGTCCTTAAAACTAGACTAATCTACTAAAGAAATTTGCAGTAGATCCTCTATTCCTTTTTAGTTGTTTGGTTACTTGTGTAAGGGTCTGTCTCTTGTGTAAGGGTTCTTTGTCTTGTGTTTCCCTTATCTGAAGAACCTGAATATAGGTTGCGTATCTTGCAGCTCTTCCTTATCCCTTGTTTAGAGCACCTCATTTTCTGAGCCTCCTCGTGGCAGAGCTGTTTTGGAGTGAGTGTGCCAAAGTGTGAGTGCCTGCACTGAGAATTGGTGCTCTGAAGTAGTTTAAAGGGATCTGCTGGCCTTCAGTAGTAAAAGGAACATGCAACTGCATACCTGGGATCCAGACGTTGCTCCCCCATGCATCAGTCCCCTATCTCCTATAGTGGCAGCTGACAGATATTTCAGGGGAAGTGTTTAGCACCTTCCATGCTGCTGGCTGGTTGCCTATCTTTTTTACCAAAGCACTACGGGTTGTTGGGTTGTTTTTGGTTTTGTTTGTGGTGTTTTTGTTTGTTTGGTTGGTTTTTTGTTTGTTTGTTTGTTTGTAAAACAGCAGTTGTTTCCAGACAAACTGTCTCTTGAACAATGAGACCTGATCAAGTTAAACTTTGCAGGCACAAGTGTAAACACTTTAAATTGTCAGAATGAATGCCCAGCTTTTTTTTAAATCCAGAAATACTTCACTGTTTTTGTCTCCCTGTGCCAAGAATCCCTTATGCTTCATTGCACACTGCATATGGACATTTCCCTTCTGTTTTCTCTAAGCAGGTAGTACTTCCTGCTAGTTTCATCTAACCATCACTTGCATCTTGTGTCAAGAGATATATTTTTTTTGTTAGTGACTGGTGATAACCAGATTTTTTCTCTCCTCTATATAAAATAAATAAATAATTAAATAAATTGTATGAGTAATGGTGAAATAGATGCTGTGAATGACTCCCCTAGAGCTTAAAAGACTTTTTAATCTCTGGAGAGATATCTCCTATTCTGTTGCTGGTGAAGGCTTCCTACTGTCTTACTATTTAGGGAATTAAAAACTTTTCACTAGTTGGTTCAAATTAGAAGAAAACTATTTAATTAGTCATTGTTCTTGAAAGAAACAGCAAAGGAAAAAAAAAACACCTAACATTTTTGTTCTTCAGATGTAGAAATCTGCTTTGACAGTGAATGACTGGGATGGCTTGAACCAACTACGGTAAATCCAAGCCAGTACTGCTAATGACAAATATATGAAGTACTTTTAGAATTCTTGGCAATGGAAGAAAACAAACTGTATGCATCATTGAAGTATAAACTTGAATTTTGGGGAAAATAATGGAACTTCAAAGGCACTATGAAAATTTTATAATAGTATTATATGACAGTAGACTTTTTTTGTAGCATTGGGTTTTTTCTGACTTGTAGTTTGTAAGCAGTGTCTTTTATTTCACTATTGGAAATATGTTTTTTTAAGTAATAATACATCCTTGTTGTTGATGTGTGAGATGAATGAGTACAGAGCGAGGTGAATTGAAAACTGGCCATATGGCTGGACTATGCAAAAGTTAAGTTCTCTGTCAGAAATAAGGAGGCACATGATTGTGGAGGATGGAAGGTAGGAAAGATTTCAGAAACAAATTTTCCTTTAATAAATAAATGCTACAGTCCGGTGTTCCCAGCTGTCACAGTCTTGCATAAATGCATATATGTACTTGTAAAACAGGCTATTTCTGATTTTAAATTACTGACAATTTGTTGTGGTCATGCTTGTTTTATAGGCTGTTATTGGCTGCCTTTGTGCACGTGTGCGCTTCATAAAATAGTTCTGTATGTTACACATATAAAATATCATGTGACTTTCTACTTAAAAGTTAGGTGACCACATTGCTTCTTGTTTATATATAATAAAAGTACCGTAAGTGTTGAATATAAGAAGCTGCTGGGCTTTGTTTGATACAACCAACTCTTAATCCCAGCTTTTATTTGACTCATAAAGGTACAGTTTGGCTGTAAAAGATATCTGCATCTCCAAAATCAGTAGAAGGGGTGACTGCTAAGTGCTAAATTAGTAGTGACACTTGCAAACTAGAATTTAGACATGTCTAACTTTTAACAAGAACAGTTTGCTGTTTGAAGGTCGAGAACTTTTACTTAATTTTTTAGGGCTAATTGAGCCAGATGCTCTAATAAAATACATTATCATTCTTCTAGCTCTAAATACTCTCTAAGTAATTTATCCAGCACAGTAATACATAGAAAATTTATATGGAACTGTGGAAAGCATGGATCAATATATCAGATACTCTCCTAGAGCACTTAGATTTAGCTGTTTTGGATTAAATTGACATGTAATGGTAGAAAACAAAAAAATGACTAATCAGGTTTTCTCAAATCTATTTTCTTATGAAGTCTGAAATTGTTGAAGGTTGGTTTGTCTGAAAACCATCCATAATTTCTACTCTCATTTTCAGTTGTGATGAAAAAGGAGAAAGTAGAGCATCATATTCTAATGTAATTTATGGTACTATGAGTTCTTTTAGGACTCATGCATACCAATCAGCTAGAGCAGGCTGACATCAGTACTTGTGCTAGGTAAAACTTGGTGAATGATGATGGGGGTATCAGTCTATGGCAAAAAAGGTGCCAAGTAAGTACTTTAGGAAATGTGAAAATGAAATTTTCATTGCAGGTGAGTGTGGTGAAGTCCAATTAATCATTTGCTTTTTTTTTTTTTTTTTTGGGCACAGTATGACTTGATTGTTTTTCTTCTTTAAACATTCAAAATAGAAACTAAGTTCACTCTTTAACACTGATATTATTTTTATCTTCGCAGTTTGCCGGGAAGACTCATACCAGTCAATAGTCTCATGTGCTGCTGTAGTACTTACTCCTGTAGAACCGACAGTGGATACAAGGAAAAAAGAACAGACAATAATGCCTGATGTGTCTAAACAGTGAGTAATTCAAATACCACGGTCTTTTAGAAGTGCAATTTAAATAGCAGGCCAAGTTCTTTCTTGTGGATGTGAACAGACACCTCCTTTCTGTTCCATCAGTGGGAATATAGGTGTTTCCTAAGGAAATTGGCCTGAGACGGGGCTGCTGCTTTTGTTCATTAGTCTACCTTCTTTCCAAGGCTTTTGATAATGAGGTATATAGAGGGAATGGAAATTTATACTCTGAGAAATTGACTTGTAACAGGCTTAATAAGGTGATTCTTTTTGTTTAAATAGTCCTTTCATTTTTGCACAGCTTTTTCTAGTCAGTTGATTTTTAGAAAGAACGTAATTCCAAAATACTCTGCTCATCTGAGAAATGTTGGTATTTTTCAGTGACTATTGTACTTCTGTGATACGAGATATGATGGTATCTTCAAAAGTGTGGTAGTGATTTTCCTAGGAAATTCTTTTTAATTAGACAGTAATTTGATACCTTGCATTAGATGAGAATCATAACCACAGCATGCGCAGTAACATTTGATGTGCAGTACCAGGCGGGATGGTTGTTTTTTATTAATTGAATTCTTGGAGAATGAAAATAACTTACTTCATTAAAAGAAAGAAAGCAGAATGTTAATGCTTTATCAAAACAAAAACTTGGGGTCTGTGCATTTTGAAGTGTGGAAGGTAATTAAAAACATGACAATGGATAATGTGACATCATTATTGTTTCTAAGCATTTGCAGTTAATTTTCCACTTTCCTGGGTATATACAAATTTAGATTTGAACTTGTCTAGAAAGTCCTAGCTTGTATGCCTAAAAGAAAAAGAAAACATCCCTTACACTCCCTCAAAAAACTGAAGCCCAAAACACCACTATGGACTAGAGTAGATGGGATGTGATTTTGATACAGATCTATGGCTTAGGTCTGTATCTGACTATGGCATCTTTTAAAATCTGATGATAAATCCATTTAATCTAGTCTACCTGTACTTTAAAGTTAACATAGTTTATTGTCTATCATCTAGGTATTATTACAATGACTTAATGTTTGAAATACTGTTAACATCTCATTGTTTTAGTGTTTCAGTCATATGGCTCTGAATACTAAGGGACTGGAAAGGCAATGGACTGTAAAATAATGTGCTGAAATCCAGAATGATTTTTGTGGTTAGTTCAAGCAGCATAGTACATTTTTGTCTTTTCTCCACTAAAAGGCAGGCCTGCACTGTTGTTTGATTGGCTTTTTCCTCTACTGTCAGCAGTTTGGGCATTTTACAATCACTTATGAATTCCAAGAAAACTGCTGTATCTGTTTAGCATGTGCTTGAAAGCTGAATGATGCCACCTCCTAGATTTTTTTTTTCATCTTATTGATGTTAGCAAGTATATTAATCTGCTTTCTGATGTGCTTGGTTTTTATTTTTTTTTCTTTACAACCTGACTAGTGATGTCTTCTAAGCACATAGACTTAAATTATGCTTGTCTTATGCACTCAGAGGTCTCAGAAACATGCTCCAACCTTTGCTAATCTTCCAGTTATCACATCTGAAGATACGGCTTGCAGCTCTAAAATTCTCTGAAAAATAAACAAACTTGTGCTTAAACTGATATATTTGAACTTCTTCACATGAAACAGCACAATTGTGTTCGTGTCTTTAAACCAACATTTCTTAGTAGTGTATTGAAAATGAAATGGAAAACTTTTACTTGTTAGAACAGAAATTCTGTAAATGTTGTAGAAACCTTCAAAGTAATTATAGGGGGGTGAAGGCATATGGCTTCAAGAAAATCTCAAGTGTTGTGAATAACCACTGTCATCTGTCTCCACTGTAAACATCAAGCAAGAGGAAGCCCTCAGCACGTGTTGAATTTCATTGACGTGAGTGCAGAGTCCATGTATGGACTGATCTGCAGAGGTGAATTAGAATTATTGGTATTAGCAAGTATGCCTACGGGAAAGAACATCAACTTTTATTTTTATGCTTGTCTTTGTCTAGCTGAATGGTTTTGACTTGTATGTCCCAAAATGCTGCATATCACAGAGGGCTGAGCTGTGGCCTGTCATTGAGGTTTTGTAAAGAAAAATTGCTTCCCTCAAGCAACTGTCCCTTGGACAGTTTTCTAATGCTTTCTAATGCTTTTGAAAACTATATAGCAATGTGTGATCCAAAACACAGATAAAATAAATATTAATGATAATAAGTTGTTTAACCATTACAAATAACTAAAAATAATATTACAAACCACAGTGCAATTGTATTCAAGACCTTCAGGACACAAGAGGCTGTGAAGTCTGGGCATGGAAAAAAAAAATCTTTAATGTGACTTGTATAGTATTTGACTAATGATGTTATTTTGACTCAGAAAGAAACTGTTTAGTGCTTCTAAATAATGTCCTGTATTTGCTTAGTGTAATTTTATTGTAAGCAGCAAATAATCATGCCAAAAGCTGTAGCAGCAGAGCTTAATGGTTCTTTGAAGTGTCAATGATTAGATGTTACCAGGATTGGAGGAATAAAAAGCCAATTTTTCCCCCCTGTATTTTTCCTTGGAAGCTCAAAACATTTAATCAGGAAGCAATTCCTCAGTGATATTTAGGTAATTGCTAACTCTTGTGTACTTGGCAAAATCCCTACCTTGGTCATTCTGCTAGAATGCTCTTGGCTGAGTAATGTGATAGCCACGAAAGAAGCAGAGGAGGCTCTGGCCAAGCAAACATCTTCTCTTTAGCAGCCTGGGAACAAAATCCCCATCATCAGAAATGTAAAAGAACCTGTTTGTTGAACCTGTAGCAACTGCAGGAGTAAGATGAAGTCCTTGTGTCATGGTTTGAGCCAGGATAGAACCAATTTTCTTTTTAATAACTTTACTTTTCAGTTAAATCTCTTCTAAGTAGCTGCGTTTGTTGAAATCAATGGTGTGTTTTCCATCAGTGTCTGCTTGTAGGACTGATGACCAGACAGGTGACCAAAATTGACCAAATGAAGTATTCCATCCCATATGTGTCATACTTGGCATAAATTGAAGGGATCATGAGGATCAAGCTCTCTTTGTCCATGGCCAGCATCCTGGGAGGACTCCATCAGTTTGTCTGACATTCATTCTGATCCACGCATTCCTGAAACTGTGCATTCCTGAATCCAGCTTCTGCTTGCCACTGATTCTAGTAGCTCAGTTTGGGACTTTTCCAGGGCCTGCGCTGCAGCCTCAGTGTTGACGTGAGTGTTAGTTGGGGGGAGCACCATAGTGGCTTCTTTGTATATATTTGTACATATTTAATTATTTTCCTTTTCATCACTGTTGTTTCATTAAAGCTGTGTAGTTTAGTTTCCAGCCTGCAAGTCTCACTCCCTTATTCTCTCTCCTTTTCCTATAAGGGAAAGGAGAGGGGTTAGTTAATAGAGAGCACCTGCCATTTGTCTATTTGTCAGCCCAGCATTGAACAGTGACACCACCTTGCTAGGTGATATGGCCATTATTCTGTGTTGCCTTAAAGGCTGATAGAGTACAAAAGGGGTTTGCTGCTCTTCTGTAAACAGACATTTTGGAATGGGGGAATGTCTCTGTTTTTTTACAGGAGAGCAATGCACAAGGCTTCTTGTTTTCTGTATTTGGCAAAACATGCTTTCTAGTGCTCAGCCAGCAAGAGCCTTTGTAATTTTTGTCCTTCCACTCCACAACAGACTGTGATGCAGAGAAACACATAGTCTGAATGTCAGTGCAAGGTCAGAACAAAAAAACAAGAAATGTGAGCTCTACCTTACTTAGCCCTCTGGGGCCTCCACATTGTCTAGGATGTTGCATTAACTTTGTTACATTTTGTAGAAATACCAGACTTAAAAACCTTGTGCTACCTTAACAGTTCAAGCTATCAAGGCCTCTTTCTGTTTCTGTAGTGATAAATCAGTCAATTGCTCTCAAAGGAGCCCAGATACTAAAACAATTTGAAC